CCACCCAACTGATCGAATAACTCATCGATCCTTGGCAATGGGTATTTATTCTTCACAGTTACCCTGTTCAATTGACGGTAGTCAATGCACAACCGAAGAGATCCGTCGTGCTTCTTCACAAATAGTACCGGTGCACCCCAAGGGGAAGTACTATTCCGGATGTATCCCTTTTCTGTCAACTCCTCAAGTTGCGTTCTTAATTCTTTCATCTCTGCCGGAGCCATCCGGTATGGAGGGATGGAAATAGGTGCCGTTCCTGGGACCAAGTCAATACAGAATTCAATCTCCCGATCTGGCGGTAAACCAGGTAACTCATCAGGAAATACATCTGTAAACTCATCCACTACAGGGATTCCCGCACTATCTCCGATCGCTTCAGATTCACCTTCTAAGGCAAGAAGGGAGGAGAAACAGGCTAAATTCGTTCGTCCCCCAACGCTGTACTTCAACAGTCGTTCCCCAAGGACTGGGTTCATCTCTGCCTGATAAGAAATTACTGTTCCGGAATCCGTCATCAAGGTCACTTTCCTACGGTAGCAATCAACAATTGCACCGTGCCTTGACAGCCAATCCATTCCAAGTACCACATCAAACAGGGTCATCGGAAGGATAATCAAATCTGCTCTCAATCGCTCACTACCAATCATGATTTCACATGATTTACACACACTCATTACCTCCACACATCCCAGTGGGGAGTTCAAAGTCATCGGGACTTCTAAATTCTCACTCTTCAGTTTCAAAGTCCGAACAAAAGAGCTTGATATGAACGAGTGTGTGGCACCTGTATCAAACAACACGTGAGCAAAAGAATGAGAGATTAGGATCATACCATCAACCACCGCGTTGCTGGTCTGACCTCCAGAGCTACCACCTGCCAGGGCATAAGCTTGTCCCTGTACTTTTCCCTTTCCTCTGTCACCAACATTAGGCCGCTGAGCCGGAGGCCTATACTGTTGTGGTGGAGGCAGTTGTGCCGGTCTCGGCGCTTGAGGCCAGAACTGTGTATACTGAGGTGGCTGATATGTCGGCGCAGGAGGGTATGGCATCTGTTGCATATATTAATATACTAATATATTAATATATTAATGGACATTTTTTAATATACTAATATATTAATAGACTAATATATTAATGGACATATATTAAAGGCAACATATATTAATGGACATTTTTTAATATACTAATAAATTAATAGACTAATGTCGGCGCAGGAGGGTATGGCATCTGTTGCATATATTAATATACTAATATATTAATATATTAATGGACATTTTTTAATATACTAATATATTAATAGACTAATATATTAATGGACATATATTAAAGGCAACATATATTAATGGACATTTTTTAATATACTAATAAATTAATAGACTAAATTTAGTCTATTAATATATTAATATACTAATATATTAATAGACTAAATTTTTAATTATTAAATATGTATTCATTTTCTTTTTTCATTTTTTTCATTTTTTCATTGTCACCATGTGATCCGGTCGACCGCACTGGTCGACCGGTGGAATCAGCTGCGCGAGAGAAGCTCACGGAAATCAATCCAAAACCTGCAAATCCAGTCCCAAATCGAGATTTTTCAAAGGGAAACCACTAGATCTGGGTTCTAGGTCCTAAAACAAGTCCAAACAACCCAAGATCTCCAATTTCTACTCTAGTTTTACTCAAAAACCATCAAAATCCGTTTTGAACCAAAAATAAGTTTTGAAATCCGAAAAACATAGATTCAAGAGAGATTCTTTCAGTAATCTTACCTCAAATCCTTCTCTTGACGTTGAAAACTCTTTGAAATCACTCTTGGTTTGAATCCGGTTTTGATTTGAGACACAAATGGGAGAGAGAGAGGGAGAGAGAGAGCACGGAAGTGTGAGAGAGAGAGAAACGCACGGGAAAGAAAACGAAAAGGAAGGAAAAGAAAGGAAAAAGAAAAATAAAATAAAATAAAAGAAAAATAAAAGAAAGTGACATGTGTAAAATATAACAGTCCAGAAATGCGCCCATACACACTTCTGGATTAAATAAATTACTGTGAATAATTTAAATACCTTGGAATTTTTTAAACTCAATTAATTAAATTAGATTAGGCACACTAATAATCTCAATTACCTTAATTAATCTCAATTAATTCTTCAGGGTGTTACATATTTGGACCATTTGAGCTTTTTGAGCCTACCTTGACATGTTTTTCCTTGGTATAACCCGTTGAGCCTACTTTTACCTTTTTCCTTGTTCCCTTTTTCGGTACTCTACTTGCTCTTTTGCAACATTGAGGGCAATGTTGATTTTAAGTTTAGGCGTAGGGGGAGCATTTGATGCCGAGTATGTTATCTCTATTCATCTAAAAAAAATTGTGTTCCGTTGTTTTGGAATGATTAGTAACCAGGAGTGAGCATGAGCCCCATGTTCACTTTTGCATCAAATGGTAGACCAAGGCAAGAGCAAGGAGAAAAAAAAATGCACCTTGAATTGCATCTTGCTGAGTAACCGGGTGACTTCATCACCAATGTTGGCACTCGCGTAAAAAGGCAAGTGAGGCATTTCTTGGTAGTTCAAAAAAAAAGGGGTAAAATAAAAATAAATGCGAATATGGTGGACAAGGAGAAGCAAAACTTAAGTTTGGGGGTGTTGCTTGGGAATGTTATTTGAGCTTTTTCAGGTCCTAGAATTATTGATGTGCTTTAAGGGTGAATTGAGCTAAAACATCATCTCATATTCTCCCTTCATCCTAGCCAACCATTTCAAGCCTAAAAAGTCCTATTGATCCTTGCTAGTGTGTTGTGTTGGAAAATACGGCATTGAGTGCGCAGTGAAATTTTAAAAATTTAAATCAATGCCAAAGCCAATCAGGAACATGTTCATGATGCTATATAACAAAGAAAAAATCATTCTTGAGAATTAAACAATTTTTCCTCTCAGGAATCTTTTGTTAATAGCCTCCAAAAAGTCTCTCAAGTGATCTAATAAATAATGTGACTTAATGTGCTATTTATAGTGTTTAGAAAGTCATATTTCCGTAAAAATTAACTTTTCCAAAGTTTATCTCACTTATAGAGTCAGTTTTGCCACGTCAGCTTTTCCAAAGTTTATCTTCACTAACTAGTCTACCTGACCGGTCGACCAGTCTGAACTAGCGAAACTTGTTTTTCCTAGTGTTCCTACACGGAAAACTTGCATAGCGCCTCAATTTTGATTCAAGTAACCCAATAGAGAAGTTGCCTGATCAAAATAGTCCTATAATAGTCTTCCCATATTAAAAAACTCTTTAAACAATAATTCAACCAATTTATCTAGAATTAATTTATCAATTAATTCACCTAATAAATCATTCATGAATTAACCAATCTCATATTAACTTTGAACCTCTTTTACGGAAATAACACAAGTTGCCAATATGTAGGAAATACACCGTATCATTATAGGAAATTATGTGAGCAAGCAAATGGACCCGATGGACATATATAAATCAAGCTCCTATAATCACAATGCTACTTGTAAACCAATAAGTCCGTCTCAGGATTATAAAACTCTAGCTCTACTCCACTAGAAACCTAGAGCTACACTCTCGATTTATATAGCATATTTACAAAGCTCTGAATAGGTCTCGTCTATGACTCAATATATTAGTGTATCATCCCCATAGGATATCCATAATCGACTTGAGGTCAAGTTCCATTTTACCTTCCCGATTACATTTATCTTATGTTCCATTATCACACCATCAAAAAATCACTATTCATACCATTACAAATAGTAAATCATTAGATAACACAAAGTAGTCTAATGGCCGAGTGCTCGTATTTTTCAATCCACAGATAATGCATAAGAGGATATCATTGACTCGTTGTAGGAGCTATGGATTCCACTATCTATGAATAACAAATCTACGCATATACAAGTCATACCCTTAATGTACCGGTAAGCATACCTTTACATAATGTCAGGATGTCTCCCTTTGGTGTATCAAAAGATACAAGTCAAGCATACGGGTTCATTATCGAACTCAGGATTAAGATGAAAACATATAATTCATTAAAAGTGAATTGTTTTATTCAAATGGTATTATTAATTAAAACAATTCAACTTTGGTATGATCTAATGTAGATTTCACTATTAGAAATTATATCAATGTCTCTACCCATGGAATCCCACCTCCGACGACCAAGACAAGCCGTCTCCGTTAGGAAGTAGACAACATAACAATCTTAACATGAATAAAGCACCCAACTTTATTCCCTCGATTGTGGATCATATGATTTAGACTATCATCTTTAGATTCTTGTCTTCCACATGTTCTTTTCATTACATGCATGACCTAAAGATTTAGAATAACAATCTCAGACTTTTAGTTTGCTCATCATACATTCAACTAATATGAACATAAAGAGGACAATACATGGATATATGAAATAAATAAATTTTTATTAATAGTCAAAATGTCTTAAAGAACATTGTTACATTTATTCCTAAGGGCATAAACGCTAACAATCTCCCACAATCAAAAGATCACACAAACCTCCCTTGCCTGTAGAGGCTAGGTAGTCCTTGTAATTCTTCTTCATGTGCCCCACCTTCCCGCGATGAAAGCACTTAAGCTTGTTCAGGTTCTTCTTCTTCTTGTTGTTCTTGCCCTTGTTTGGCGGAATTGAAGAACTCTCCTTCTTGGCTCTTTTCTTCTTCCTTCCATTCCTTAAAGAGGGTTTGGAGGAAGATGCCTCAGTGAAGTTGGCCTCATAATAGTTGACCCCTTGATCATCTGCTCGAACTTTTAGAGTTCTTGCATCAACTCTATCAAGGTTATATTATGTTTAGCACTCAAATTGAATGTTGCCCTAAATGAATATACTCCTTCAAAAAATTCTCAAAGATCATGGTCAATTGAGACTCAGCATCGATGTTGGCCCCATTAGTCTGACTGTCAGCCAAATAGCCCATCACCTTTAACATATGTACCTTTATGGAAGACCCAGCCTTCTGTCTGTAATTAATGAGATTACGTAGGGTTTCTTGACGTTTTTCAGCGGCTTGGCCGTCGAACATGTCCTCAAGATTATCCATAATCTGACGAGCAGTTATGTAATCTTCATGTTGTGCTTGAAGCACAGTGGACATGCTCGCCATCATTTAACAGCGAGTCATATCGTCAGAGTCCTTCCTACGTTGATATGCTAGGAAAACCTCATTAGGAGCATCAACAGGTGGCTCAGGAGGACAAGGTGTATTCAGTACGAAACTTAGTTTCTCAAAAGTTAGGATGATCTTTAGGTTCCTTTTGCAATCAATAAAATTCTCTCCAGTTAAAGTGTGTTTATTAAGTATCGATGATAAAGAGCTAGCAGACATTTTGATCTACAATAAACATTCATATATCTAGTATAAGCAAATTTGCATAAATATTTAGTAATCAAACATATATACATATTATAATCCAACCAATATGTTTGTGTGTCAAAACCATGAAAAAATCACAACCTTACAATGATAATTCCCAACTCAAAATTTTGTAAGTCTCCTAGGGAAGATCATGCAAAATTTAATTGGGAACACGGATCCCCTCCGATCAATATATACCATCCGGATAAATCTCTGTCCAGCATATATTGATAATCATTTTCTTTGGCCATTAATTTAATTAATAGAGCTTCTAGGGGAGATTAATAATTAAATTAATCTTTAGTGTATAACCATCGTTTCAACTATTTGATCCATACTTTATAATTGTCACCTAGGGGTGCACAACCATAAAATATGCTCAAATAAATTATCCTCTCGAAGATCCACACCAGTACATAATGAATCCCTTCCTAGGGGTCAGTATCACCATGTCTTACCTGCGGACCAACGATGAAGGCCATGGGTCTTTTCTTCAAAAATCCTCACCCACTCAATCTTTTTGAAAACAAGGTTTTATGTTAAAATTATGCATGAACAATTTTAATGAGCGGCATTCCCTATTCTACATGACATGTTATCACATATATAGCATATCATATTATATGTAATCATACAAAGCAATTAAGCTAGGCAACAAGCATAATAATAATAAACCGTAATATTATGGTTCCAACCTAGAGAAAAAAAAATAAAGATTACTAAGAATAATCGAAACATATATCGATCCTTCATCTTGAATCTTCCTGGTTGTCCTTGAATTCTTCATCACAATCAAATTTTGGTTATCATAAAATTATTTTTCATGTTTTTCTTGAAAAAATCTCAAAAAACTGTAAAATCGTGCACTGCCACGTTCGGTCCGGTCGACCGGTGACAGAGTAGTTATACTCCACCGGTCGACCACCTTATATGAACCGGCTGACCGGAGAGGCCGACCGGTGTCTGTGTGACAGTAATCCAGATTTTTTGAACTTTCTAAAATTTTAACAATTTTGAAAAATTGTCACCAAAATCTGAAAAAACAAAAATCATAACAGTTTTTCAATTTATTCAAAAGCACAAAATAATTTTTTAAACCAAGAAGAATTAGATACCTTTAAATCCTTCGTCTTCAAGATCCATCTTCAAGATCCTTCTTCAAGATCCATCTTCATGATCCATCTTCAAGATCCATGATAAATCTCCTCCAAGAATTTTTTACATGAAAATTCCTATACCGTTTCCGGTTTACAAAATTTCTACTAAAGAAAATAAAATAAACCCTAACGGTGATGATAGGCTATATATCTAATTACATTGTAAAGAATAAATTCATATACAACCATTCTAAACTCTAAGGAACCATAACCGGTAAAAATTAAATAATCAAAAACCATTGAGAATTTATAAATAATAATCATTAATAATTATTTAATCATCCATTCACCATATATTCATGATAACAAAAAATATAGAAACCCTATAGTACCATCTCTCTAAAATATCAATTTGAAGATAAAGGAGATATTTTTAGATCACAAATCTATGTACATAGCATAATCATGAATAAATAACCTAGCTCTGATACCAATTGTTGGAAAAAATATGGCATCAAGTGCACGACAAAATTTTAAAAATTTAAATCAATGCCAAAGCCAATCAAGAACATGTTCATGATGCTGTATAACATAAATACTAAAGATCTAAATCATACCTTTTGAGATTTAAGAAACTGCACATCTGACAGACTAAAGTGTTCCAAACAGCAACCGGAAGAGCCTCAACCAACTGGTCTTCTTTGCTATTCTCGTTTCCACGATCGGTGTGCTGGTGGGCACACTTTATTCAATATCCTCTTGGTATTTTCGAACTCCTTCCAACCACAAGAAAGCCAAAGAAAAAAATGTTCTTGAGAATTAAACAATTTTTCCTCTCAGGAATCTTTTGTCAATAGCCTCCAAAAAGTCTCTCAAATGATCTAATGAATAATGTGATTTAATGGACTATTTATCGTGTATAGGAAGTCATATTTTCGTAACAATTAGGTTTCCCAAAGTTTATCTCGCTTACAGAGTCAGTTTCACCACGTCAGCACGCGCTACATGTTACAACCGGTCGATCGGTGACTGAGACGTTATAACTCACCGGTCAACCTGTCTTCATTAACCGGTCTACCTGACCGGTTGACCTGTCTTGTAACGACCCCTCACGAACCGTCACAGTTATCTTAACTTTCAAACATTTACCTCTTAAAGAATGCGGAAAATCGTTAAACTTGAAATACTTTATTTTGAACGACTTAAAGAAAAGCCTAGATTTTTTTTTTAAAATACTATCTTTAAATTTTGAACTTCCTCAAGAAAAATAAAACAACTTTCGGTTCAACTTAGTTATTAAAATCTATAAAGTCTAAAATATTCTTCAAATCAAAACCACCATAAACCGAAGTTTCAAAACAATAAAACTAAAAACTAAAAACTTTGTTTAACCTTAAACACTTTCATCCCATGATCGTTTCTCTCGTTTTCCTATCACGTATAGCTCACATCCACTCCAATATAAACACCTGCTGCCATGGTCATTAAACATCACCTAAATACATATATCCTCCCTCAATCATCAACCAATAAATATCCTCCATCATTCTCTCAAACCATTATAATCAAACCCAAAGTAAAATCATCCAAACTCTCATAGACATACAAACTAAACAACAAGAAAGAATCATACCTCGACAATCTTTATTTTGCCTCTAATGATTGAAGAATCCAAAAAGAATCAAGAGGTGAGGTTTGTGGCTGGTGTTGGAGGCTTTCTCTGATTTTTTTTTTCTTTTGAGCGTGAGAAATAAGGAGGAAGAGAAGGAGAATTGAATGGCTCTTTAATATGCACAAAAAATTAATGTGATTGATTTAGGATTGATTAGGGTTTAATCCTATGATTAAATGACCCCTTAACAGCTGAGGGTGGCTGTCATTAGGGTGTAAATTCGTGTGGAAGACAAATAGAAGAGTTAGGTCAACTTCTAGAATTTCCATTCTTGTTCGTATGCAGTAACCTGGTCGGAGACTGCTGGGTATCCTGATGGTATACTGGTCACATCTTCTTACTCCGATGTCCAATTTGTGCAAATGAGAAGGCGTTGAAAAGCTTATGAAAAGATCTACAACTTTGTATAGACTATGGAATAATTTCAGAATTTTAAAGGTCCAAAATAGGGCTGAAAATTAACGTCATGGAAATGGTTCTTTTGTCTAAAAAAAAAAATCAAGAAAAAACTTAGAATTTTCCTAAGACACTTAATTCCATGCATTATAACATGAAGTGCATCATATCATGAACACATATTCATTTATCAAATCATTAAAAAAAAAATTGAACATATATATATATATATA